GTCTGCCAAAAATGAAAATCGAATGATATCACACATTATGAAGCCGAGAAGCAGACGATGTTAAAACATCGCTAATGTCTTGGAAAAGATTCTTATCGAAAAAGCTAGCTATAATGACGCTGATGACAAAAGGAAAGAAATAAACAGCAAAAACAATGAAAAAAAATCACGTGAAACAATAGCTGCTTGATTCAAAAGCTTTAGTACGTCAATAACGCTCCAATAAACGAAATATATAAAAGTAACAAATTAAATCGGCATGTATTATTTAAAGATTGGATTCAAAAACAACATAAAAGCACAAAATACCATGTGTCTAGTAGCAGCATTGAAAATTTTATACAAAATATCTATAAACATAATTGGCCCATGTATACGTAAGTAGGCCTAAACAGCCAGAAATAGAACTAAAGCGTTCGGACATAACACAATTCCTTTTTCAGGGGAAATATTAATATACAGTCCACCCTCCAATTCGAGATCCCTCTAATTCTGAGACCCCTCTAATTCGAGACCACTTTTTCAAAGAACCATATAATAATCTTCAGTCTTTTAACACAAAGCTAACCCTCGAATTGGGAGATCGTCATCGAACCCCGAGACCACTCCAAATGTTCAGGTCCCAAAGTAGTCTCGAATTTGAGGGCGAACTGTAATTGTTATACGTTAACGACCGGGACAAGGGTAGCCTGTGAATATATGCGTTGCAATAAATATATTTCTAAAGCCAATGTTATATGTTTTGTTTTTATTTTATCACGAACTCGTGGAATGACACCTTGATGAACGAGCTTTTATATTGTATTTTATATACTTTGTGAATACATAAATAAATAAATATAGATAAATTTTGATTGATTGATTGATTGATTGGTATATTTTATTATACTATATATTTTGATTTGTCCTCTCATTGAATTAAGATTTATTTATTGGACACATTCTTATGTTCAGGACCCCACAATTAAAGCTTGCTTACAGTGGGGTACCTTTTTCACAATTATTTATTTTCATTTAAAATTTATTGTGTTTATATATATATATATATAGACCTATATATATATATGTATATATAATCTGTTTTGTTTGTGAAATAAATATACTGTACTTGATACTTGATTGTACTTAGGCCTAAGTATTTTTTTCGATCGTCATCTATATTTTGAAACTAATGTTTACATTTATTGATTTCAGCATTAGGCCTACCACAAGGCGAGCAATGCCTACTTAGCCTATATATAAGCCTATATATTTTATGTTTAATTTTTGCATACATTAATATTATATAAAAATGTGAATATGTCTAAACGTTTAAGTGATACACTACTAAAGTAAAAACAGTTCACAACAGAAACAACGTGCGCGAATATCACAGAAAAACCGACAGATAATGAGAGCTACGGCAAAACAGACCAGACGCAATGTTAATGTCTAAAAAACTGATCAAATGCCTGAAGCTACGACAAAATTATGATCATACCATCTTTAAAGTGAATGAAAGTATGCAACTAGGTACGAAAAAAAATGACATCGCCTCAGTCTGGTCATATAGGCCTATTAAACTACGCAATTGCCGGAAGCTACGGGAAAATAATAAATAATAATGATAATGAAACCGCATACAGAGACAGCGCCCGAACGCCAGCAGCTATATACGACATAATGATGATAGGCCTATGCAGTCTCAACTGAGCACTGTGCCAATAGCTACGGCAAATGATAATAAGTATATGCACGAAGCTATTTGTAAATCATTTTGTAAACATGGTCTAGGTCTATGTAGCTACATGACTGCCGACAGCTACGACAAAAATAACAATAATGAAACCGTATCTTCACCCGATCGCCGGCAGTTACGGCAATAAACATTTGTATGTAACTACACGAAAGCCGATGTAGCTACAACATATATAAAAACCGTATTGTACCCCTAACGCCGGTAGCTACAGAAAAAAATGAAAACATACGCCAGACTACACCATAATGAAACCGTATATTTTTGGACTCCAACGCTGGTACCTACGGCAAAAATGATAAACATTCGTTTTGTACCTATAGACCGGTACCATGTAGTACTGTAATGAAACCGTCATTTTACGCGGAATTGAACATCGGAAAATAGAGGTCATAAAAACGCTTCCAACATATGCTGCCTAGTAGTTGAAAAGATAATGCTTTCGCCTAATGTTTCGCGAATGAAATGAACGAAGTATAACTCGTTTTAAATATGATCGGGTCACCAGTGTACCCTAATGGTTGTGTTAGCTTTTGAGAACTCTAGGCCTACGTTATATATCTCTGAATAAAATATAAGCAATACGAATCGCTTTAAACATATTGAGTATCCACTATACCCTACTGATTGTGTTAATATTCGATAACACTTTACATTATATACCTTTGAATGAAAGATACGAAATATAAAACAATTAAATAGGCTACTGCCGAGTCTCCATTATATCCTAATTATTGTTTGGTGTGTTCTTAATAATTCTACGTTATATTACGAAACATACACTATTGAAAATAGGTCTATCGCTTTCAAATACCATTGAGCCTGCAGGACACCCCAACGAATGTGTTGACTATTATTAATCAAATGCCTTGCACCAGCAGTAACAATTGTTAAGTATAATTATGAAAAATAATTTTGTTAAAAAAAATTATGTTCTCTCTTTTTTTTTTATAGATAATAGGCCTAATAGTTTTCTTTTGAACTTAGAATTTCAATTCCTTACTTCGTGTATTTCTTTCAGTTAATAACTTTCAACGGAAAAATAGAAAGAGAAACTTCTCATCGTATTAGCAGCTCCATTAGGCCTGGTTTCTATACAATCGCTACACTGTCGCTACAATGTTTTCAGTGCAATAGTTGTACAGTACTGCGTAGCAGTCCCCGACGCATTCGGGAAGACTCCATAGGCGTATATCCCCCAATATTTGACAAGGGGGGGGGGGAGGGATGGTCAACTGTATCATCCCCCCCCCAAATATTTTGACTATGTATGGGATAAAATGGAGCTTTACACACTTCAAAAGACTTGTCACAGAATTAATTTGCAGTCTTATGCGCTTACAAAGAAAAAAATTAGCATAATGTATTAATGTTGATAACAAAATTATTTTATCTGGTACCAATCTCTTCTTTCCTTAGATGTTAGATGTGCTTGCAAAGAGAGCCATATTTCACACTGAAGGGTGTGTACATCAGTAATGTTATGTCAATTCCAAGAATGTTTAAGGTTATATCGGTTGATGAGGAATTTATTG